TCGGGAGGGGGGGACGCCGGCCTCGGCCGCGCGCGTGCGGCTCGGGGCAGCTGCGATCAATCCCGGGCCGCACGCCTCATTTGCTCGCTGAGGTTAGGGGGGTCCGGGGGAGGGTGGTTTCGAGGACCCAGTCTGTCCCGGAGACGTTAGGGAATCCCAGAGACGCCGCCTGTTCGGGGTTCGCTGTCACGCGCAGACCCGGAGCCCTTGGGCGGCCTGCCAGGCTCTCGGATGCCGCGCCAGGTGGGCCGGCCTTGACCACCGAATCCGTTCGCCTCCACGCCGTCCCCACGCCCCGGGCCCCCCCCCCCGCCCCGCGCGAAGCTGGCAGTGGTAAAGATCTTGGTGGTGAACCGACACTGGAAATTAACCTGCACAGCCACCCCACCAAAACAGTGTGTGTGTGTGTGTGTGTGTGTGTGTGTGTGTGTGTGTGTGTCTGTCTGTCTGTCTGTCTGTCGTGCGCCCCAGCTCACTCTGTGGCCCCGCAGTGTCGTGGGAGGGGTGTCCGGAGGGCCCCGAGGGTCACCAACTCTTACATAAGAACTTAATAGCTGTGAGTGCTGTCATCCTGCCAAATACAGACCTCGCTGCCAGGGCAGAACTCGACGAATCAGAATTATTCTGTTTGGTCCAAGTGCTTATGGGGCGTTTGCTTTGTGCCAAGAGTTTGGAAACATACAGAAGTATAAAATTCAGAGCTTAAGTCCATTAGGGAATCTTTTTCCGCCTTTTCTTTCTGTCTGTCTTTTTTGAAGGGGACCTGATGTCCACAATGAGTCTTGAATTCAGGACCTCTCAGTTATTTTGCTCAATGGCTGGTGCTCTACTGCTTGAACCATGCCTTCACTTCCGGATTTTTTGCTGGTTAACTGGAACTCAGAGTCTCTCAGATTCGCCCAGCTTGGTTCTATACCAGAGCCTCAAATACGTTTCTTGAGTAGCTAGCTTTATAGAAGTGAGCCACCGGTGCCCAACTCCAGTTGAGAATCTTTCTGATTTTGTTGCAATAGAAAAATGCATCCCTTCATGAATTAAGTCACTGGAAGTTACACTGAAAGTCTTCTGTGAGCGGGATACCGCCGACAACACACCAAACATGGGTACCTTAAGCATCGTGTACAACAGAGGCCTCACTTAGGTGGGAAAATAGCATGGAAACAGTATTGTGGCAGACAGCGTATGGCAGGTACATTCTTGCTTGCTCTCTTTTTCTTTCCCTTCTCTCTCCCTCCCCCTTTCCTCTCCTTTTTCCCTCTTCTCATTGCCTCTCATGTTCCTCCAGATCATGAAAGCCTTGATGCCTAAGTAGTTGCATCTCGGTTTCACAGGCATTGGCAGGCATGCTGGGAAGTGAAGTGAATGGGAGTTTTGGCCCTGGAGCCAGTGGCAGACTTTATCCGGGCATTACCGTAGGGTAATGAATTGGACAGCTTTCCATCCAGAATACTGTTGTAGTCATCCAGATGGGAAGCTATGGTGGCATGAACAGAGCCAGTGAGAGGACAAATGGAGCAGAAGAAACGGATGGAGGACGTAGTGTGAGATAGAGTGGGATGATTTAACAACCCATGGGATGTGAGGAGTGAAAGGGGACAAGAACTACTGTGACCAGGAAAGTCCCTGGAAGGGTAGTGGCCTATTACCTTATAAGTACGATAAGGAAAATTGGTTTTAAGGTGATAGAAGTGTGAGTTGAGATGGTGTTGGTTATTCTCTCGAATGCAGAAGCTAGATCTAAAGTACACCAGAAAAGACAGCAATGGGAAGGGAGGAATGAGAGGGAAAGAGGGAACAGCTTACACTAAGCAAAATGGGGAAAAAATGTAACTATTACCTGATGTGGAAGAAATAATTGTATTGTCAAAGCTCATAGAATTCACAAACTTTATAGACCATGATAATGACAATTTGCCTTCTGAAGGCTAAAATGTGTTTGTGACTTTAAGTATCACTATTCCACAATACTGTGAACTATGTGAAATTGATGTAATCACCTAATCTCAATTAAAAAAATAAAAGAATACACCAGAACATGATAAATTATACAGAATTCTAGGCATTCACACACACATACTGAGACCAAAGGAGAACAATATTTATCTAAATAAACACCAGGAAATGAAAACAAGAGGTTTTTTTCTTTGTTGCTGTTTTTCTTTTCTTTTTGTCTTGTTTGTTCATTTACCTGTCTTTGGAAGGGTAAGATGAAGCACAGAAATGGAGGAACAGAACAAATACAGCAGTGGTACTGGACACTGTTGAAAATGAATTGTATAACTTGTAGGTGGGGATGGGAGGGAAAAACTGAGAGAGAGCATAGGGAGGAGCAACATTGTCTGGAAAGGAGTGACATTGTCTGAAAAGAAGTATACTCGGACTGGGATGTAGCTCAGCGGCAAAGCGCTTGCTTAGCAAGTGCAACATCCTGGGTTCAATCCCCAAGACCAAAGAAGAAAAAGACAAAAAAATAGTTAAAAAAAACCCAAACAAAGAAATATACTCCTCATTTGACTTATGTAACTGTAACCCCTCTGTATATCACTTTTATAATAACAATTTAAAATTTTACAAATGAAAAGATTTTAGAACAGTTCTGATCATGCGCCTCAAAAAAAAAAAGAGGTATTGGTTAGTGTCCATTGATTCCTTATAAAATAACCCCCTTCCTGTTTTTCCAATACTCTGCAACTTGAAAGGCCTACTGTCCTTACTTCTTTTAAGAAGAGTTTTCTAAGTGTTTCTTCTTCACAAACAGTTCAGCTTCATTTATTAAGAATTATGTCTTAAGCCAGGTGCTGGTGACTCATGCCTCTGATCCTAGAGGAAAGGGTCTTAAAGGTCACAGTTCAAAATCAACCCAGGTAGAAAAGTCTCAGATTCTTATTGCCAAATAAACAGCAAAAAAGTTGGGAATGGAGCTGTGCTTCAAGTGATAGCGTTCTAGCCTTCATTAAAAAAAAAACAACAACAACAACAAAAACAACAACAACAAAAGCTAAAGGCAGCATCCTGTCCCCAGGACCAGCACAAAAAAATTATATGTTAGGTGGTATTGGTGGCTAAAGTCTGTAATCCTACCTACTTGGAGGCAGAGATCCAAAGGTGACAGTTCAAAGCCAGCCCAAGTAACTACTGAGAGTGGTGCCACACACCTGTTATTCTAGCTATGAGGGAAACTTAATTGGAAAAACACAATGACTGGGCACTGTAGTTCATACCTGTCATCTACAGCCACAGTCTAGGCCATTCCTGGCATAAAATGAGACACTACCTCAAAAAATACAAAAAGGGGCTGGAGGCCTTATTTAAGTGGAAGATTACCTGCATAGCAAATGCAAGGCCTTCAATTCCATTTCCAGTACACGCACACATGATGCCTTCTTGAAATTAGAAGGTACTTTTTAAGAGCTTACTAGACTCTCCTATAGCACCTTTCTCCTCCCCCGCCCCCCAAAGTTGCCATCAATTCTGCTTGAATGTATAATGACAGGGTGCTGTACTTTGAAGAAAAGCCAAACACACTGTTGGGAAATTCTTTCTCAAATTCTACACTCAGAGATGCTCTCTGGGAAGAACCAAATTTGACTCTCCATAAATTCTACCTGATGATCAAAGTGCTGTCCCCTGGAGCCTCATACTCCAAGTCTAGCTCCTTTTATATATAAAATCCTGCAGCTACTTGTGAAAACTGTTCTCATGTCCTGGACACTTCTGAACTTCAAAATAACCCCTTTCAAAAAAAAAAAAACAACTTAGCAGAAAAATGACCATAATGGAAACATTCTGTATTGTTTCTGTAGGTCACTAACTTGCAAAGGGATCATGTGCACAAATTTGACTCTGGTTCTGGGACATTGTATGCAGATCGTGGCTGAAACTGAACAGTGGGTAGCAGGTGCACCTGGAGCTAGATAGATCTCTCTCCTTCCCAGGCATCTCAAGTTTTGTTTGCTAGGTCTTTCTGCATAGGTAGATGCTATAGTTCAGATCTTGGATATCCTCCCAAGGCCTTTGTGTTAGAAGCTTGACCTCCATCTGATGGTGCTAAGGGAAGATAATGTAACTTTTTATTTTATTTATTTATTTATTTTTTTTTTTGTCGGTCGTGGGGCTTGAACTCTGGGCCTGGGCGTTGTCCCTCAGCTCTTCAACTCAAGGCGAGCGCTCTACCACTTGAGCTACAGCGCCACTTCCTAATGTAACTTTTTAAAGGCATGGCTTAGTGGAAGGAAGTTACAGCATGGAGAGCTATGCCCATAAAGGGAACTTGGCCCCTCCTACTCCTCTCCCTTTGCTTTTTGGCCACCAGCAGATGAGCAGCTTTGTTCTACTTGTCAAAGGCTCAAAAGCAATAAAAGCCAGCAGACCTGGATTGAAACCTCTGAAACTGTGAGGCAAAGTAAACCTATTTTCCCTGGTAAACTGTCTATCTCAGGTATTTTGTCACAGTAACAGAAAACTGACTGACACAATAGA